CTGACTTTTTTTTTTTTTTTAACTTTTCAGGCTCAGATATTTGAAATTACCAGTTTTCTCAAATAAGATAGAATATTAACTAAGATTCTAGTTAGGACCACAGTTGGTGAAGAAGCTGAGGTTCACCAAAGGGTAAAACAGCCTTTACTGTCTAGTGTACATTCCTTAAGCCAGAAAACAAAACAAAACAAGTTAGTAAGAGTAGGATTTCCTGGATCCTGAAAACCTAAAGGACTGGGAATAATTGCGTATCAAGATTGAGAGGATGACCAAACATGTTAAAGTAAACTAATTTTGCCAAAGCAGGCTTTCATACTTGAAAATTTGTTCTAATGTCTCTGTAGCTCTGAATTGCAACCTAGCTTGATGTGCAGGCAAGTTATAACTCAACCTGAGATATACTCTGATAAACAAGCAAAAGCCTCAGCCAATCAGAGACTGAAAGCTGCTGAAACATGATCGGCTAAGGCAAATGATAACTGCAGCCAATCAGGTTGGTCTGGCATGTCACTTCTTTTTCTCTAGATGTAAATATAGCCCACACAAGTGGTAGGCTGGAACATTCTGAGCCAGTTTTGGTCAGGAAAGCTGCCCAGTTCTAGGACCCACTTCTTGCTCAAAAGAAACTCTTGTTAATTAACTGGCCATAAAATTTTCTTTTAGCACACACTTATACACATAAGAAGCCATCACATCAATATTACAAGCCTTTCCATTACCCCCGAGTTTCAGAATGTCCATTTGTAATCAATCCTTCCTTCTATTCCTATTCCCAAGCATCTCATGATCTGCTTCTGTCAATGCAGATCAAAGTACATTTTTTAGCAGCTTATATAAGGGGAATCATATAATATGTGCTTTACTTTTTTCACTACCATAATTTCTAGACTTATCCATGTTTAGAGTATCATCACTAGTTCCTTTTTTTGCTGAGCAGTATTACATCAGATAGACCACAATTTGTTGACGAACATTTAGGCTGTTTCCAGTTTGTGATTAATACAAAAATAACTGCTATAAGTATATGTATATAAGAACAGAAATTAATGTAGTAGTAAACAAGTAACAAAATTAACAAAATCAAAAGCTGTCTTGAAAGAAAAGTTAATAATAAACCTGTTTCTGCCCAAGATAGTAAAACATAAGAAAATGTTTAAACAGTTTTAGAACTTAAAAGAATAACTACAGGGACCATCAGCTAGCATAATGGTTATGTCACTGGACTCCCACATGGTTGACTGAGGTTCAAATCCCAGACCCAGCAGCTTAAATCTCATACCAGGCGCATGTGAATGTGTGCCCCAAATCTCGAGAGAACGGAGGAGAAAGGATTGTGGCATGGCCATCCCTCTTGGAGGGTGATATCTCGCTGTCTCTGTCTCTCAGGTGAATGCACACAGCCTACGGCAAAAATCTCTAAAAAGAAAAGAATTATAGATTTATATAAAAAAAAAACCTCAAGAGAGTGCCATGTGAAGTTTATGCCAATACATTTTTAAATAGACAAAACATATTTTTCTAGAACTATGTAGTAATCAACTTTATGTCAAGAATGCTAAAAAAAAAAGCTACCTTCTTAACTACTGTACATCAAAGAACCTAGTTCCAGATGGTTTAATAATTCTTTGCCACCTTACTTTTTAATTTGTTTGTTGTAGCTTGGGTGCACTCACCAGAAAGAGAGAGAGAGAGAAAGGGAGAAATCATTCTGGGGGGGATGGCCATACTGCAATCCTTTCTCCATTCTCCTCTTGGAATTTTGGGCATACATGCACATGCATCCAGCATGTTTTTCAAGCTACCAGGCCCACCCTAACAGCCAGGTTCCACAGTACATGCTACTAAGAGTTTTGCACTTGGTGCAGTCACTATCTCTCAAATTATTGTCATGATTCTTAATAATTTCCATATCCACAAAGATAATCCTTTAAATAACCTGATCTCTCAGTTATCTAACTTTTTTTCTTAAAATAATCATGTTCTTAGGGCCAGCAGGTTAAGACATTGGATTCCCACATGACCAACCACAGTTTGAGTCTTGGACCCAGCAGCTTGAGTATATGAATGTATGTGCATGCATGTTCAAAATCCCAAGAGGAAAATGGAGAAGGGATAAAAGAGTGGCCATCTCCCCTGGGGAGTGATTTCTCACTTTCCCTCTCTCTGTCTATTACTCTCTGGTAAGCACATATACCCTATGGCAAAACCTAAAAAAAAAGATAATAATCATGTTTTCTGCTTCAACTACTCACTCTATAATGCTACCTTAAACCTTGTCTTTACTATATAACTGTACCTCCTCCATCTCTCTACTAACCTCTAACTTTTCAGCTCATTTCTTTCCAATATTCCAGCTTCATTAACTTTTCACTCACTAGGCATGACAATGCATTGACCACACTGTACTTTGCTCTCTCACATTATCATTTCCCAATAAGTGAGAAGAAATAGGAATAGTCTATTACTACATACACGGTAATTTACATTCTCTCCTTAAAAAGCCAAAATTTTTTACACAGCTAATAACCATACTTCCTATTCCATTAACAAATAGAGTAATCAGAAGAAACACTCCATCTACTTTCTCCATCACATCTTCTGAAAAACAGGCTTCTGAACTCACATACTGTTACTTTTGTGTCTATGTGAGGATCTTCTCCTCAAAAATATATGTATACAGGGACCAACAGTTGGCGTAATGGCTACGTCGCTGGACTCCCATGTAGTCGACCATGGTTTGAGTCCCAGATCCAGTGGCTTAAACTCATACCAGGTGTGTTTGCGTATGTGCCCAAGATCCCGAGAGGAGAATGGAGAAGAAAGGATTGTGGCGTAGCCATGGCCCCTGGGGGGCGATTTCTTGCTTTCTGTCTGTCTTGCTCTTTATGGCGAGTACATGCAACCTATAGCAAAAACCTCTCTAAAAAAAAAGTGTGTGTGTGTGTGTATATACATATATATCTGTATACAAATAAAATTTTGTATTTAATTTTGTATTTAACCCCAAGATTCTCAGGTCTACAGTAAATTTACCCAGGGACTCAAGGCTAAATACTGCTAATCTAAAAAACTAAAGATGGCCTGTCTTATGTTATATTCCCTCAGTTTAGCAGAAGTTAGCAAAGGAGCAAGAAACATTGGCAAGCTGTTTAAATTACCTCACCTAAAAATGCAGTAAAAGTTGTGTGAAACAGTGCTCAATTAACGGAAAGATATTTATTGAGAAATGATTCCATTTCTACCACTGGACAAAATTTAGGTAAAAGTAATCCTGTAGATTACTTTCTCATTTTTTTTTTTTTTTAGAGATTTTTGGTATAGGGCACATTCACACATGCCTGTTGTGAGTTTTAAGCCACTGGGCCCAGGACTCAATCTGCTGTCAACTGAGAGTCCAGCAACATAACTACTATGCCATCAGTCAGTCCACTAGAAATTACTTTTTAATTGCAAATGTAAAAATATACCTTCACCATAGAAAGAAATATCTATTACCACCTTAATCAAATAATCAAACTTATTATTACCAATAGTGGGACAAACTTGACATTAAAAGTCTCTAATGTGATACAATTACAAAGTATGACCTATGATGTATACCTGCCAAATATGTTTGATCTGAACTACTCAAGTCTCTAGTAATTTGCAGTTTATAGGAAAAACAAGAGCTAGAAAGCACAGAAAAAATATACTTGGAGAACTCAGAATTAGCACACTTGTCAAGACAACTAACTTGGTCTCTTAAAGAAAAATGAATCAGTACTATTAAGGGAAAAATGGATTAAATATTTATATGAAAAGAGACCAAACAAAGTTAAAACCCAACTATAATAGACAATCTTCACAGGATCCTGTTCAAAAGCAGAGCGTATCCAAAAGGCAATTTGGGGACAACTAGAGAAAGCTAAATATACACCAAATAGTAAATGTAGAGGAATAGTAGAGAATAACTGTTAATTTCCATAAATATGATAAAACTTTTGTGTTTATAGATGTATAGCTAAAACATTTAGAGGTGAAGTGTTCTGTGCATAACTTAACAGTTCTGAGAAAACACACACACACACACATATATATATATATATATATATATATATATATAAATACAGAAAACATGCCAAAATATTTCACTCTAGTTGATGAATACATGGGTGATTTTATAATTTCATTTTTACTGTGTTTAGAATGTTCAGAATAAGAGCCAGATAATAGTGGCTACTCAGGCAACTGGACCACATGGGAAAGATGCTGGGTTCACATCTCAGAACTTCCCTGTGTATTTCTATGACTTAGGAAGTATTTTTTTTTTTTTCTTAAATGCTGGGACCAGTAGATGGCATAATGGTTATGTCACTTGACTCCCATGTTGTTGACCATGGTTTGAGTCCCGGACAAGTGGCAATCCACCTCTGGGAGGGGTGATTTCTTGCTTTCTGTCTCTCTGGCCAGCACATGCATCCTATAGCAAAACATCTCTTTAAAAAATAAAAGGGGGACCAGCAGTTAGTGTAATGGCTATGTTGCTGGACTCCCATGTAGTCGACCATGATTTGAGTCCTGAACCCAGTGGCTTAAACACACGCCAGGTACACGTGCATGCGTGCCCAAGATCCTGAGAGGAGAATGGAGAAGGGATTGCAGCATGGCCATGCCCTATGGGGGGGGGTGATTTCTTGCTTTATGTCTCTCTGTCTTTCTGGGGAGCGTGCACATGTCCTATAGCAAAAATCTCTCAATTAAAAACAAAACAAAACAAAACAAAAAACAGAAAAAGCTACCAGGAGTTTTGCAGTTAGCTCAATTACTTTGTCTCAAACTACTCATGATTCTGAAAAATTTGATACTACAGATGGACTGTGTTATAAAGATCCTTTAGAGGATGCCAGTTTTTGCCTCATGGAATGTATAAACATACTTTAAATGTTTAAACAGGAAATTGGAAAAAAGACATGCATAGCCCATCCTATCCATCTTTAAGAGTCCATTTTTGCTGTACTTACCTCCTAAAGGCTTTCCAGCTGATCTAGGACGAGCTCAGTTCTTTCTCCTTTTCCTGAATTTCCCTGGTACTTTCACTTTGAACTTAGTACTTTATTAACATTCTGCGCGTCTGGATAAATAAGATATGCATTCACAGAGGTCAAAGTGGGGGATTCCTGTACAATAGTAGGATACAGAAATTAAACAGCAGAATTATAATTAGTTTGAGTGGTCTTTATTAGGCAAAAGAAATGTTAACCAAATTAGTAACAAGATTTAGGAGTAAGGTGATGAAGGCCTAACCTAAAATAGGATGGCAGCAACGACAGTGAGAAGTCTTGGAAAATATGGGAAACATTTACATTGCTGGCTTGCATTTGGGCTTTTACTAGCTTTGACTAAGCCATTCAAACCTGGACAGCTTAACAAAACCCCCAGCTTTGTTGCATTCCTACTACCAGCTCAGAATTCGGGGTTTAAGTGGAAAAAAGTGACCAAGTAGAATTTTTTAGGCAGCCGTTTACTTCCAACATTCACTCAGCCAGGAGCTTTCAGGTAGGCTAGTCGCGCACCAGCATTTGAAGGAGGCTCTACATCCACGCCTGAGGGCAGTAGTAAATTGCCTTGGAGAGATCCCAGATGGCCAAATTTACCTAGGCAATTAAATCCTCCTGTTCAAGTACGCTTCAGGAACCACAGCCCTGTTTCAGTCACTGATCAAAGATAACCCTGGATCTCTAAAATAGTAACGTCCGGAACCTGACCGGTCTCTCCGGGTAAAGGTCAAGGCTGAGTGCTGGCATCGCTCCCCTCCAGGCCCCGCCGTGCCCTCTCACCCAGATTCCCGTCGGCCCAGCGTCTCG